ATACAAAGAACTTAACCAAAGCTGAAAAAATGTTCTTCATGCCAGAACGATCCATTTATTTGCAAACAGGACCAATGAAAGAAATCACGCCAGAACGAACAGGAACATGAGATATTCCATTCCATACCAATGACTGTTCCTCAAAAGTGGACATGGAATGGTTGGGAAAACATTAGAAATGACAGTGATCCATGGCCAAATTGATCATGTTTTTTTAAAATATAAAAATGTAGCAGAAAAAGAAATAAAATATAGTGGTTGCAGAGATTTAGCAAGATCCTTGCTTTGGAAAAATTTCTTTTCTTGTGTGAACCTTCTTTAGTAAAACTTGGGTAGATTGATGTTTTCTTTTTCTTAGGAAATGCCACTGAGATCTCCCTGATTCCTGTCTAGATGTATGCAAAGTATCTTATAGTAGGCATGTAGGAATTGAACAATAGCATTTTTTGAGCCAGTCTCAATAACAACCTTCACATAATGAGCATTTTGTTCACATGTTCAGTTTCATTTAAGAATCAGTGGACAGAGAATTTTTCCCCCTAAATTCTATTAAAATTAGTTTGATTAGGAATATTCACAGTGCCAATCAAACAATTTTATTCTGTGTAGTTGAGATTCCAAAAGAATAATTTAATTATTGAAAATACTGTGATTAGCATTCGTTGTTGTCTTCTAAGCTTTCATTTGATCCTCCAGGTTTTAGATCCATTTAAGAGAGATATTAGTCTCTGTAGTGATTGGGTAAGGAAGATACTGTTAGATTTCCTTCCAATTAATTGGCAAAGAATCTCTTTGTTGCTATGTAAATTACTAGTGGGATCTTTTATGAGGCTTGACTTTTGACCTATAACTGAGTTTGCTTTTTAATGATTCCAACCCTCCATTCAGCTCTCACAATCTTAAGCCATCTAACACTACCACTTGCACCTGCTGTCAAATACTTCTCTCTCCCTTATTCCCAAAGTCTAGTATTGTTATTGATAATGATATTGCTTTTCAGGAAATTCAGACTGCTCAGCATTGCCTTAAAAGATCAACTAAAATCTCCGAGTCCTAACATTCTGCAGACCATCTTAATACTGCTACATTCTATTTGAAAACACCTACCAAGGCACTTCTGGGTTGAAAGGATTAGCCAGTGACATCACCATTGCGCAGGGAATGCCCGAAGGGCTTCCTTTCAATCCCTGTTATTTTTTTTCCCACTGAAGTGGTACCTATTTGTCTACCATACTTGCACCTGTATGCTTTCAATTTGTTAGGTGGGCAGGAGCTGGGACAAATTGATGGGGGCTCGTTCCGTTATGCAGCTCGCAGTCTCGGGTTTTGAACTGCCGAGCTGTCGACCTCTCAGTGGTCTTCAGACCCAGCATCCTTGCCACATGAGCTACTGCGGCCCACTGATCCTTAATCACTGATGGAGATGTAGCTTTCTATCCCATAGGTATCTATGAAGCTGGAAGTCAAGTTTATTAGATTAGACCTATTGTAACACAGGTCAGTCCTGTGATTTTTCATGTATACATTCCACACATGCTGAACATATCTCAATTTTCCACCATACTTTCTTAGCCTACGAGGCCCCTCTCATGCACTTCTGCCTCACACTAACATCTCAATGGAGGGGGAAAAAATTCAGCATTCTATTATTGATTCTTGGTGCAGGAAGGGTAGATCAAATTATTGATTCAATGGAGAGGATATGTGGATGTTGAGTGGCAAATAAGATACAAGTACTTCTACAGTTTAGGTTATCATACTGTCCTAATTGCTGGCACAAAAGCAGTTCTGGCAGATGCAAGTCACTTTTTTTCTATTTCTGTTGATAATTACACATACTTCACAGGGCAGAGGACTGAGGTAAACAGACTGAGCTTGCAAAATTTTCCCATCCCTCCTATTGGCACGGATATATCTGCAATACTTATAATGCGTATTTAGTAAGCAAAAATTTCCCTCTTGTCTGCAGGTTTTGTAATAACACTTTTAAAATATAACTCCAATATTAAACTGTTTAGCAATTGAACCGTAACTTGCTTTATCATTTCTTAAGTTTCAATCCTAGTACACGTTTTACAAAGATCCGCTAAAAATTAGTAATCCTGTCATAGGTGTACAGTGCACCATTGGATTGTAGTCATTTAACAGTCCTTCTTCCTGAGTTATTTTTTATGCTAATTTAATGCAAGGGGGCAGATCTGGGTGTTCTGAACCTGACCCCCAACATTTCTATCACCATAACTTCCAATATGTAGAAGATTTTAAAAGTATGATCAGTAAACCTGGATGATTATAGTTTGTAATCACATGGAATATCCTGTCTATATGTGTGCAGTATAACTTCTTCTCTTCAAATATTCTGAATTTTGTCATGAAAAGAGTGGTGCCTTTTGTGACAGGGACATTATGAGGCAAGGGCCATGCACAGAGTCCTACACATTTTGACCACATGGAGAACTAACTTTAAAGGTTAGAAGAAACAAGAGATACAGCTGACATGCATGCTCTTAAATGCCAGACTTATTTTCTTAGTATTTTCACTACAGAAATTTGCTATTTATTTTCCCTGAACATAGATCTTCATGTATGATTTATTCTGAACGGACTACCCAGAAAAAAAAAAAAACTCATGAAACAGCAAATGGACAGTGTGAGTCTTCTGCTTGATTATATCTCAAGTTTCTTTCAGGACATTTTTTAAAAAATGTCCTTTGTTCTTCTTAGTCCATTGAAATAGCAACATTGAAGACAGGCAACCTATTTGTCATAATGTGACTGACATATAAGTCTACTACATATCAAAATAAATGACGTTCACAAGTCAAACCTTTCAATTATCTTTATTCTGTTGCCCAAAGTGTTCAAAACAGTCTTTTCTGGCTGTACCAGATCACATGCTCATTGCCACCAAGAATAAAAGCTAGGAAACCATGAAAAAAAATACTTGGCTAAAACGAATTTACATATCTATGAGCTTAGCAAATTTGGTGGCTATTGGAAATAAGAAAACACCTATGACACTATCTAGAAAATGATGTCCAGGATGTTAAGTCTGGACCAAATAAAGGAGAGGCTGATTTGATGTATACTGTTTCCCATCCCTCCCTGACAAACTGATCAGCAAGGTAGTCAGCTTGTGACTACCTATAGGAATCTCTGGCTCGGGAAGTTTAAAAAAAGTCCTAGAAGGTGATGATGGCAAAGAACCTCTAAAATGCGGAAACTATAAGGATGTCCCTGTGAAATTAGCAAGAATCAAATTTAATTCTCAGGCTTTACATTAATGATCTGACTGTAGATATAATAAAAGGATGATCATATTAATCTATGATAGCCAAACTCAGATGATGTGTAGCACCTTACTATCACATTTTATTAATAGGCATAAGCTTTTGTGAGTTGCAGCTCACATCACCTGACTAATCAAGCTTATGCCTTTTAAATAAAATGCATTTTTGGAAAGATGCTACCAGATGCCTTTGAATTCTTAACTGTGACATTACTGATATAGAGGAAATACATGAAAATCAGAGGAAGCTCAGAATTCAGAAAAAGTGACAACAGAAACAGAATTATGTATGAGCTACACTGGAAATTAGTAACCTCATTCTATTAATCAGTATTATCATCAGGGATCCATATATCTATTACAGGGATATGTATAGATATATATGAGAGAGAGAAATCCTGTTTAGAACAAAAAAGAACTATTCATCTATTGCTTCTTCTCTATGTAGGATGGAGTGAACTGATATCTACCCACTGATCTCTAGGTTGAGTAGTATAGAGTACAGCTTAGAAGAGATCCATGCTATCTATATTCAGTTGTGTCACCTGAGACCTGCTGAAAGTTTATCGAATTGCACCGTCTCTAAAATCTTTTATGAAAGCTAATTATGTGCTAAGAAAGCTTCCATACTTTCATACAGCAACTGTGATGAAATGAACTCCCTCATGCACAAGGGTTCCCATTTGGTCCCAGTATCATTTGTACATGTTGGAAAGTATAAGAGGCTTTGGGTTGGTACACATATAGTCTTGCACATAAAAAAGGATCTTAAGATCCTTAAAATCCTCCCTTGATAGAGAAGTCTCTCTAAATGCAATTGGTAAACCTATAGATTCCATTCTCATAATTCTGGCCTGTTCACTAAATGTGCAGTTAGGCAGTGAACAAGCTCGGCACTTGGCTGGGTTGAGTCAGAACATGAAAACCAGTAAGTGGAACCCTATGTGTTAAGAGCGTTTGAACATCTGTGATGTTATGATGTTCTTTTCTTTGTCGTATCTGATGGCATCATTTCTATGAATCAGATTCAGTAGGATTCACTCAATACAACAAAAAACAAGCATAAAAGATCTTTATTAGGAGTCCTAAGAAATATATCTGTTAATGTAATAAATGTGATATACTCTCTTCATGCATCTTTTTGTTTGAAAAGAAAAATTGTTGTTCAGCTAGAACAGTGGTTCTCAACCTTTCTAATGCCGCGACCTCATAATACAATTCCCCATGTTGTGGTGACCCCCAACCACTTATACATCACTGGGTGCCAGGGCTGTGGCCAAAGAAAAGGGGGAAAAAATGGCGGACAGCCTTGTTTGGCGACCCCCGTGAAATGGTCGTTCGACCCCAAATGGGGTCCCGACCCACAGGTTGAGAACCACTGAGCTAGACGTTGCAAGGCTCCGTAGCTTTCTCCTAATTAGCTATATTAGGGGTAGGCAACCTTGGCTCTTTTATGACTCGTGGACTTCAACTCCCAGAATTCCTGAGCCAGCTTGCCTACCCCTGAGCTATATTGAACACAGAATAAGCGTTGGAAGAGACCTTTGAGGTCTTCTAGTCCAAGCCCCTATCGTCGGAGCCCAAACTGCTTATCCTTGTTCTAGTTGCTTCCTGCAATAAATGGGGGAGATGTAAGATAAAATTACTTTAAAAGTGACTACCCTATCAAAGGCAGGTATTTGTCACCCTTTGAATACCACCATGAAAAACCATATCACAGAATCAGATGGTATAATTCTTACTTCTCCATTCCACTTTAGACTGAACATGACAATAGATGTCACAAATTTGAAAGTTCTTCAAAATATAATTTTCTATCCTGCTCTTCGATTACAGATAGTCCTTATTTAGCAACTGTCCTTGGACAGCAAACCTTCAGTTATGATGGTGATGAAAAAAACAACTTTGGAACCTTTTGTAAAACAAAGGGATGCTGAAGTATGACAATAAGCACGGCTGCAGTTTCACTTAATGACCATTTCACTTACTGAGTTCCTTGCGGATCCCAATTGTAGTAGCTACACAAGGACTGCCTGTAAATAATTTCTTTTTCTCGTAGAATTAAAGCTTCTCATTATTGGTTATGAATCATTTAAACAACTTTGTTAATTAGAACTAAGATCACATAAAGGCATCATAACTTTTTAAAAATTGTGAGATACGTACAAACAAAAGTAAAGACAGAAAATAGATTATGGTGAGATACAAGGCTGACGCTGAATGTTACAAAGTGAAATCTTTTTCTTCTAACATAAAACAATCAAAAGAATGAAAGGTAAGAAAAATAATTATCTCTGCACAATGATGTGCTGACATATCTGAATATTTAGAATGTCTGCTATCTTTCTCAGATTTGTTGAAGACTTATAATAGAGTAAACAGTTGTCAAAAACACTTACTGTGATATATTTGACTGACATAAATAAATTTGTTTAGGAAGATTTCCCTGCCTATTTTGAACAAAATTAAAAGTGCCAAAACAAAATATTCAGGATTAGATTTAAATAATTTCACTTCTGAATAATATCTATAATATCATTTCTGACAGAATCCTTTGGTGGGAGATGGAAGGAAGAAAGTAATCTGAGGCTATCCAGAATATATAACAGATTGGGGGTCCTCTGTGGTAAAATATTTCCCCACACCATGGTTGCAACAGTCCAATGTCTTAAATTCAATATATAAGTCAAAAATATCTTCCACTGTAAGTCTAGAAATTGACAGTGGGGCACCGTTTTGCTCCTTGGAGTGCCAAGTTACTGTCTGGGAGTTACAGTATTCACCATCGTCATTATAATCATCATAATGTCAGTTTAAAAAGAAAAGAGCCAAGAGAAGAAAGGGAGGAGCTGGAATGTTTTATTTCATGTCTTTGCAGCTTCTACTTTCCCACAAATGGATATCTGAGTAGAAAAAGATATACTGTAAAATTCTTGTGCAGTTTCCAGGTTTTGTATGATTTCATCTTCTATTATATTTGAAGGAATGCAAGTAAAACTGAAAAGCACATGATTTATAAACCTACAGGAACAGGAAGTATCTTTTTTATTTATTCTACTTCTCCATTATGTCTGTTGATTGAGCAGCAGACTCCTATGTCTGCCTAATGAGCAACATTAGCTTGAAAGGAAGCATGTTGTGCTGAGCTCAGAATCAAGAGTAATTTTCAAAACTAGCATGCAAAGAGAAAGCTAAATCTACCAAAGGAGCTGTTTTGTCTGGCACTGAACACAGGCTATCTTCTCTGATATAAGTGGTTCTAGAGCCTTATTGGGTAAAACATTTAATTGCTGGCAAAATGTTTGATTTGATGATTTCATCTTACTTGTTTTATCCTAGCTCAGTGAAAGAATTCAGCTAATTATTCCTTTCGGCTATAAGTATTGAAGGGTTATCAGAATATGCTACTACTTTGGTTGAGTAATTAGACTCCACTCCATTTTTGTGTTAATGATTCTCTCATTAACTAAAGAAGTTTAATGATAAAAACGATTAACAGTGAGCACAAAAAGAAACGTGAGCAACTGCCTAACTGAATTATTGAACTGAATATAGTAAATTCATGTTGGTAAAAAATGAAAATTAAAGCTACAAGGATCCCTCAAATCAAGGAATTTCCTATGGCTTGCCAGATGTTTGGATGCAATTTCCATCCACACCTAAAGCTGCCATTATAAACTTTTGCGGCTGTCTAGTGGTTATCAGCTCAGGTGAAACAATTCTCCACTCACCTCTTTTCATATTGGGCATGATTGATGGGAAATATTATTCATCGTAAGACACAGGTAATTTGAAATAGAACAGAAGAAATCTGAAGAGCAAAGAAGACATGAGGTTATGACAGACAGAATAATAGATTCTTTGATGATGAAGGCAAATATTGGAAATTTCCCCTGATCAAAACTATGAATGGTCAAGAGTTTTGTATAAACAAAAATCTATAACAGTTGAGAGCATATATAGATTCTAGAGGAAAACCTTTTGCCTGCAATAATAAAAATACCATTAACTTCATATTTTCAATGCAAATAGTTGATTATTTTTAAAAGCTATTCATTTTAAAAGCTTAGGGTAAGGATAGTGTTGCTTCTCTCCTATATTTTTTTCTCTGTTGCAGTTTAGTTACGCTCTTATAATCTTAGACAGCTACTTTTGGTGGAACAATGCTTTCCATTCTATTTTTTTCTCATTAATTGTTGAAATGGCTAATGGCCAAGGTACACATTATGTACGTAAATTGCCTGAAAGATCTTTTTAAAAACAGCAAAATTCTCAGATATTCAGAAACTTACTATATATTGCAAAAAAATGGATGAAGCATTGGGACTTTTCACCTAATGGTGAAATCTATGTGATATGCTTCTATTAATTACAGGAGCTGTCTGGAGTACTAGAGGGTTTTTATTAAGTACTTGTAAATGATAGATCTTTCCTAATTATGGATGTGCCAATCATTCATTTCTTGAAGAAAGAAGGGAAAACTTTTATCCTTTTGACCTTGTGTTGCGATTTCAATTTAAAAAGTCCTCGACCTGTACATCTCTGCTAAGAGATCTGTTTTGAAAAGGAAGTAAATTGATAACTATGGAGAATCAGTCAGAAATTGAATCTGCATCAAAAGCCAAACTGTGGCATAATTAATTATGGTCAATTAAGGTTTCATTCTGAGAAAATTAAAAACAAAATATTTGATAGAAAAAAATCAATTTTGAATCCACATTGATATTCCTCATTGCAAGATGTTTTAGGAAACAATTCCCTATTCAGTAATTAAAGTTGAAGAGGGAGGGTAGCGTGTTTATTCATCATTCCCCCTTATCCATTGTAGAATAATTATGACTCAATCTTAATTATATTGGAATAAATTGCAATTTATATAGCTACTATATATACACACAAATATATATATATATATATATATATATATATATATATATATATATATATTACACACACACACACACACATATTTTATATATATAATACACATACACATATATACATGTATTTGTATTAAAAATTATTCATCATACCAAAAGAAAACAATAGTTTTTTTTCCACATCTATCCATCTCGCAATAAAACTCATATAGCTTTAAAATACATCAAAACTTCAGCAAGGATTACACACTTGATTTATAAACAATATGATAGTCTAATTATTACACCTTGCAGGTATCTAATAGTCACAATAAAGAATGTAATAAATTCTTCATTGTGGAAATGTATTTAGTGCTTTCCAACAGAAAATAGTTCAGAACCTTTTCCTGAAAGCTGTTGAATGAGAAAACATAACTTATAAATAACAGTTCCTAATCATGAAGACTATTCAGAAAGCTAAAATTTAATTTCACAGCTAATTTTTAGTATCAGAGCTTGCAGACATCTAATGGTCACAATGAAGAATGTGAGAAATTCTTCATTGTGGAAATGTATTTAGTGCTTTCCAACAGAAAATAGTTCAGAACCTTTTCTTGAAAGCTGTTGAGTGAGAAAATATAATCTATAAATAGCAGCTTCTAATCATGAAGACTATTCAGAAAGCTAAAATTTAATTTCACAGCTAATTTTTAGTATCAGAGCTAATCTGCTTTATTCAAAGGGAAATATTATAAATGTTGCTCGAATTTTAGCCACCCAAAAACTGAACTGGCCATCATGAAACTGCCAAACACCCAAGCAAGCAATATCTGCCACCAATAAAATAAAAAATGTATTAACACCTTTGTTTCAGAGCTTCATTCTCATTCAGTGGCCTCTTTCTTAGCAAAAGCTGGTCAGTTTCTTCCTTCAGTTTCTATTTCTGTTGCATTCAAAAGTGTACCCAGGCGCCATAAATAAATACAGAACAAGGGAAACTCATCAGAGAGATGGAGCAAAGCTTGATCAATGTCCTGCAAAATCTTTTTCTTCTCTTTTACTTCATAACAAAGACTGGTTTTGTTCTTTTGCTCTCTGTATGTTTCAAGAAGCTGTTCCAAAATGTTACACAGAAAGAAAATATTTTCATACTGTACATTATATTTGGCTTGAATCTGGGATGGAAAAAAAGATAAATAGCAGCGTCAGTATGAAATAATGTATACAGTAGCCTGAAAGAAAAAGATATATGATTATTTTGTACATGCATTATTTTATTTATATGCTGCCCATCTCACTGTCAAGTAATTCAATGAAGTGATCTTCTTCCTAGTCCACTAACTATCACAGTGGGATGCCCCCATTGGGACCCCAGGCCAATTGGCACAGCCAGGTTTTGAGGCTCTTTCAGAGGTGGGGAAGAATCTCACCTCAAGGGATATAATGGAACCAAGGCAGAAAAAGGTATTCTCCTGAATCCTATCAGTTGGAATTATATTATGTAATACTTGATGATACATTGCTAATAGTATGTACAGAATGCGCCAAAAAATCCTATGCGAAGTAATGTTTAGTCTATTGGTGTTTTAATTTATGATGGGTCATTCATCAATGTACTACTAGTTAGTATTAATAGTACATTGTTGGTACTTCTGCAATCAATGATAATAAGCAAATGCAGATTGAAAATAAATCCTAGAAAAATTTATGGTGTAGGTCAGTGGTTCTTAACCTGGGCGATATTGCCCCCCAGGGGGCGATTTCATTTTTCAGGGGGGCGATGGAACAAAAAGGAGCGACATGGGGGCGAAGGAACAAAAAGGGGGCGATATGGGGGCGATGGAGCATGAAGTTTTGGGACTTTTGAGACTTTTTTGTACAGTGAACGGCTGTATATCTGTCGTACAAAAACATCAGATCACTCGCTATTAGTGGATTGAATTGTGTTTTCAAATGTTCCTCCAGCTAGCTTCAGTACAGAACGCTGTATATATGTAAATAGGCATTGCTTATCTTCATGCGTGTTGTACAGCAGCCTCTACCCATACAATGGCGCGCCATTGGCCAGAATATGGGAGATATGGGGAAAAGACTGGAAATAAATTATTTGCATCGATATGTCCTGATGAACAATTTTAAAGAAAACAAAAAAAGTGTTTGCATAAATTGAAGAATTATTTCCCATGTTGTGATTGAGAAGTTATGTTGGGGGAGGGGGGTGATGACAATTTCCTCATTGGCTCAAGGGGGCGATTCGTTCAAAAAGGTTAAGAACCACTGATGTAGATACAATGCATTCATTAAACAAGAAAAAAAAATATTGCTTCACAGGAGACAAGTCACTAGATTTTCTTTGTTTCTAATAGATCAATGTAAATGACTGGCCATATCAACTTAAAGTAATAGTAATATGAGGAAACCATGAATATCTGGAGTAAATTATGTATACATTTTTCAGCCTTCATTTCAACATGCTTTTTTATTAATGTAAATGTATTGTTTTATTGAATGGTGTCAAAGTTTGCTTCTCTTGAATAACAATGAAGCAAATACTTTGAATACAGTTTTCACTTTCTATAAAGACAACCTAATGGGCTGAAAATGGAGTGGAATAATATCTGACTCCAACTGACAAATGACCCACCCAGAGACCTCATGCCACATTTAAATAAAAGGTGACAGTGTAGAACCTGGATGCAATCTCTTCCCTAATGCCAAAATTGAATGAATTCAACCACAAAGCAAGATAAACCAACAAAATACCAAGTTCCCCAATCATTGCAAGTAATCCCGCAGGATACCATGGTTGATGGTATGGAAAGCCTCTGAGAAATCAAAATAACCAGAATGGTTGCACTACCCATATTTTAGATCTACCAAAAGCCATAAACAAGTGTAATTGATGCTGTCTCCATATATGTTTGAATATGAAAACCTCATTGAAAAGGATGCATATAATCAGCCCAGTCCAAGGCCTCAGTAGTAACAGCCCCACCATCTTCTGGATAAAAACAGTCCAATATAGTTAGAGAAATATTCTTGAGAAGGGGGCATAACACCACTCCTTTAAAAAAGCAAGGACCATCCCCTCCTTCTACAAGACCCATATTACAGCATGGCCCAACTGAATGCCTTCTCCTGGGCTGACTTCACAAACAGGAAGGACATGGATGCAATAAACAGGTGGTTGGATTAGCAGTCTTGAGGACTCTGCTTATTTTCTTAGAAGTTAGCAGATTTTAACTTATTTTTATTTATTCATTTGTTACATTTATTTGCCACTTATCTAAATTTATCTCGCCATGGGGCTACTCTAGGCAGCTTACAAAAAAAAGGAGGAAACGAAAAGAGTGTAAACAGAACAGAAGTAAATAATAGAATAATAAAAAAGAACAGTTGTTTCAGCTAATCATATAAGACCACTTTGATGTGACTTGAGCAGTTGGAGTCCAGTTCTGATCTATGGCCCTGTAGATATTCTTAAGACTCATCTTTCTCTAGCACAGTGGTTCTCAACCTTTCCAATGCTGTGACCCCATAATATAGTTCCCCATGTTGTGGTGACCCCCAACCACTTATACATCACCGGGTGCCAGGGGCGTGGCCAAAGAAAAGGGGAAAAAAATGGCGGACAGCCTTGTTTGGCGACCCCCGTGAAATGGTTGTTCGACCCCAAATGGGGTCCCGACCCACAAGTTGAGAACCACTGCTCTAGCAGAGTACCATAGGAGTCATTTTAAAAGATCTGCTGGACAGCTACCTGCAGATGTGATTTTAAGCAGAAAAAAACTAATTTTTGCCTAATCCCTAAACTAATCCCTAACATGGGGTCTTATTTGAGACCCTTATACGCCTTATCTCTGTTATAGAAATGTTATTATTTGAAATAGTTCATTGCCTCCTATTGATACAAAGCTGCGGTTTTGTCCTATACTCATTGCAATTTAATTATCACAGATTAGCAGACATTTTTCCTTGAGCCTTTTGTCCTGGAAGCGGGGTGGCTCTTGGTTATTGATATATCCGACATCTCTGCCCTGAAACTATGGCATTCAATTTAACTCTTACATATTGAACCTCTGGTAGAGAAAGGCATGGCTACCCACTTTTCCATAACAGAGAAGATTGAATAAATAAGTATAAAAGATGATAGTGTGAAGTAAACTGATACGGAATTTACTCCAAATAGGATAATAGGATAACCTATTATAGGTTATATAGGATAACCAAATAGGATAACCAGAATATCTTGTAGTTCCTTAAGAAAAAAAAATCTGCTATACGTTTTACCAGCCTATATTAATTATTGTTTCATAATAAAACATGGAAACTATAAAAACAAATATAATTTAAAAACAAAATACACATTAGTAAGTTTTCTTTATTTATAATTACATTGCCAGGCACTATTTATTTGTTAAAATTTGCTGGTTTAAATAAAGCATTAAAAACCATTTTAAAATGAAACAAAGTTCATGCAATTTTACATGTATTATCCATTTGTGGAGAACAATTAACCTACTTTTTGACACAAGAGTTTGAATTACACAGCAATAATATTACAGGAAAGGCATATATAGCAGACCCATATATTTGTAGTTGAACGTTTGGAGTGTATTCAAGAATGCTGAAAGGAAGGTATGATTAATCAGCCCATTGAACAGATAGAAAGGAAAACAGTCTTGTGAAAATTAATATTTAAGCTTCCTGTCCTCCTGATATTTTCTTTATTAAAAGATTCCAGGTGGTTGAAAGTAGATTACAGTTCTAATTTCAATTGTTACTGAACAAAAAGCCTGACACAAAGTTTCTGCTAGTCATGCAAAATGGACTTGAAAAACTACTTATGCATATATATGAAAACATTAAGGTAAACTGGTAATTTCTAACTGGGTTCATCTCAAGGTAGCTATTTTAGGAATAGGTAAGGCTTTTCAAAAGCCATTTTGTGAGTGCACTCATAATTTATTCTCAAAATTCCAAATATGCCTATCAGTCTAAAAAGATGGTGACTCCTTTTATGAAATTTTATAATTAATTGGTTGCTGTTGAAAGATTACATTAACTATATGCCCTTTATTTTGAACTAGAACAGCATTTCAAATATTTTGTTATTTGTTATGACTGTCAAAAATACTTGATTTTTCCACCCTAAGAAGACTGTTATTTATAGCAAAACAAAATTTGCAAATTTCATCTTTCTCAATCAAATTCTTATGTAATCTTTCCCCACCCCAAAAGAGGAACTTATTGTATATGCATCTCTCAGTAAGAATTGTATTAAATAATGCAATTTAGTAAGAATAGTATTCAAGGTTGGATGGTGATGATACGCCAGGTCCTTAGGAAGGAACTCATAGGTGGACAAAAAAACAAAAAACAAATCCAGTCTAAATGTCTGGCTGTGTGGCTAACCATAATAATAATACTCCAAGAATCATATGATCTAACCATCTAAGCCTATTTTTTAATTAACTGGGATTTCTTTAAGTATCAGTTTTTTCTCCAACACTTTGTGCTTCACACTGTTTATCTAAAACATTTAAAGCTTATCTTAATTTTTAGCACTTCCACCATTATTCAATATTAATCTAATATCAAGTAACTTGTTTTTCTTGTGATTGAAGGTATTGAACCACAATATTCCTTAGCACCATAGTTCAAAGGCATCAATATTTCTTCAGCCTTACTGGTGGTTCAGCTTTCACAGCATATACTTATTACAACTGGAAAGACCATAGCCTTGACAATATAAACCTTTGAAGAAAGAGATGATACTCTTTTCTTCCATTACAGAGCATGCTGCCAATTCTCCAGGATTTTCTCAAAGAAAATGCATTAAAATTTGATCAGAGCTTGCTTGTTCTTTCAGTACTCTATCTTGCATTTTATGTGGCCATGAAGATTTCAACTCATTCAATGAAACAGGTATATTGCATATATGTCAAATTTTCATTCTGGAACCTGTGAAGAGCATTGTTGCTATTTATACCGTATTTTCCAGCATATTAGATGACTCGGCGTATAAGATGACCCCCGACTTCGGAGCCAATTTGCATGCCTAGAAAGTCGTCTTATACGCCAGAAACTACTGTAATTTCCAGCGTATAAGACGACTCGGCGTATAAGACGACCCCCGACTTCTGAACCGATTTGCATGCTTTAGAAAGTTGTC